CAGATACTAACACACAAAAAACAAAGAGAAGGTCATTACCACTGAAAACTATAAACATGCCGGTGTAACTATTGACGCACCTCTGTTTTAAGACTTGTGGACAGGGTGGTGAATGCTGCTGATCCCGGATCCCTCAGATCAGCAGTGAACGGCATGTTTACCGTCACAGATGTATAAACCGGCGTGGCGGCTGAAATAGTTATTTAAAAAATAGGAAAATCTATAATACGACATGTAACTTTAAAACACATAAATCACATTATCAAGAATACGGAATTGCCAGCCTGAACATAGAATCTATCTTGCTTCAATTTTAAATATAAGGAATAATTTTTTAGAATCACAACGACAAGAAAGACGGAGTAAACGTGTAAATGCATACAACACGAGCTTACCATAACACACTCCTGTTAGTAGCGTGTTCCTAAGATTATCAAGGAGGTTGAAGTTGTCCACAAATGCCAAAGTGTTGTTGTTGCTGGCTATTTGTTCCAACTGATCTGCGTCATATCCGGAAACGCCGATGGCATAGACAGTAATTCCCTTCTGTTGTGCTTCTAAGGCAGGTGCAGCAACTGCGTCGCCAGAAACACCGTCAGTTACGACGATGACAACCTTTGGAACACCCAAACGAGCCCCATCAGACCTGCCAAATCCATACTTCGTCACGTAGCGAATGGCTTTTCCAGTCAGAGTCCCTCCTCTCATGTACTGTACTTCATCGATCGCAGCAGATAATGTTCTCTTTTAGTAAGGAAAGAGTTCATGGAAAACTCTTGTCTGATCAGTGTGCTGTATTGAATAACCCCTACTTGAGTTGCCGATGGACCAATGTCAAATCCACTGATTGTTTTCTTGATAAACTGCTTGACTTTCTCGAAATTTTGATGCCCCAACACTTCCTGATCCGTCCAGGAGAAAGATAATGTCCAGGGGATTTCGGCAAAGAGTGGCTGAAAGAAAGGACTCGTTCTCTTAGACATGCGAAAACACGTCTACACAAATACGATAGGGCACTCATTGATACAAATATACAATGACATCGAGTATAATATTTTAGGTGAAAAGGTTTCAAACAGTAACAAAAATATGTTAATAGACACTGTTCTTACCAGCTTCTCCCGAAACGAAGGACGTTGAGTCCACGGTGATGGAGCCAAGAGATCCAGATGAAACAGCCGTGGAGATGGTCGTTATAACTGTAGTTGAGGACGTCACCGTAACCGTCAGAGTAATCGAGACCATAATGTTAAGCCCACTGAAATGATACGTTATAAAATGAATAACTAGAGGTCGGAGATCTCATGTCTTCGTCAGAGGTACATCGTTCTAGAGAAATTAACATGCGTATTCTTCACTCTTTTTAATAATCAATTTGGTCTAAAGACCAAAAGATTCTCTGTACTATTTCTATGGTACAGAACACCCTGAAACGGTTTGCCGCAGATTATACAGATGCGTCGTCACCCGTGTTACCCCCCCCCCCTACGTTATTTGAGTTTGGACTGTTACCGGAAAAAAAACGTTCAAGAAATTCTTACTGTGTTGAAAGTGTCACGACAGCGCCGCAAAATATAATAAGAGAAGATGTTATAAAGGAAAGAATCAGAACAGGGTGACTACTGCTGTTTTGTTAATTTGTCTTTATGACAAATAGAAGACTTGTTTCTTGTGTTCTTTATGTCCTAACATTTGTACTTCTACAGTTAGTATATTCCAAATCTAGGCACCTCGTTTTTCGGCCCTTCGTGTTTTTATTGCGCGCTTGCCTTAAATTTAAGGTAATTAGATTTAAGGTCTCCAGTCGACGTCATCCATAGCAATTACTTGGTGTGGCCGTAGAAATTAACCTGACATATGTCCAACCTATCCTCCCCCTGCTGAAGTTATAGTACAATCCCTCAATGTAACGGCATTTGATCCCATCCCATAATGGGGTTCCCCGGCTATATCCAGCTGTCGGCTGTCTCCAAGCAGATGTAGGTGGAGGATTTCTAAACACAAAAGGTCCTATTACGGGGACATAACGACCTCCACGACTCTCATCTTTGAACTCAATCTTGGAGACCACGACAGTAATATGCCTATCAAATTTCATTAACTTCCATCCACACATACAAAAGTTATCCTGCTCACAAGAAAAATTAACGAAATGCCCCCTGTAGTCACAACGAAACCCCCCACGAAGCTCAGTAACGAACTTAACCTTGGTCCTAACAATAGTAAGCACCACACCAAGAATTATAATCAACATTTTACAAATACTTGAGTTATCTTGCTAACAAGCCACAAACACAAAAGGTGCACTACCGTGACGCACGGACCCCCCACGAAGCCAAAACTTGTACTTGACTTTGGCCTCAACAGCGGTAATATGCCTGCCAAAAATCATGGACGTCGAATTATGCCTTCTAGAGTTATATCGCAAAATCCGCAGTTCCCCAAACTCCGGCGAGACAATTTCATAGTCCTTCTGACGAAGACAATTAGGCACAATGCAGTTTGGACAACTTGTGATAATAAGTGTACCCTACCTCAAAACATACAGTCAGTGCAAACAAACGGATCCGAAGGTAAAAGATACAACAAAAATCTCATTTTATACTCACGACGAACTGAAGTCAGTGACCTGTACTGCTGAGACTCCACTTACATTACTGAATACGGTAAACATCTGAAAGAAATTTATTTTAAAAAGTCAATATATTAGTCGAACAGCATTATTGACCGATTCGTTACATGATGATTACCAACATAGCAGTAGACGCCCTTTTCTTTACCTGAGTTTCGATGCGCGTCTTTAACGTGGCAAATGCTTGACTCTCCACGTTGAGAAGATCAGCCGTAAATGTCTCTTGAACGACAAGTGTCACGGTCACCTCAGATGTTGCTAAAAAACAGTCAAACATACTTGTACACTTCTTCGCTCAACCACAAAGTGTTGTTGGCAATCTCAGAAGAATGTCAAAATAAAAAAAAAGACCAAATTAAAGCAAGTAGGCCGTAAAGGAGTATACTTACATTCTTCTACAAAACCAGCAGAACTTGAGACTACAGTTATAGAACCCAAACTCCCTGTTTGTACCGCTGTGACAAATGTTTGCTTCATGGTGACTGCAGCGTACTCAGAGACAGCTACGGCTATAACCACTTTCAGTTGGTTGGCAGGTCTGAAAAAAATAAAGCAGCTTTCGGTTGTCCCAGTGTGCACACCATACCAAATGTTTGTTCACAGAGCACATATAAAAAACATCGATTAAAGAAGTACTGCTTGGTAACATAAAAATTCAGTCTTTTTTCTTGCAACTTCTTTGGTGTAACTATCAATACTCACGCCGGTTGGAAGCCGACAATGGAAACGCTCTGTACTCCCACAACAGACACAAGTGCTCGTGTAATCTAAAGGAGAGAGCGTGTAGTTTAATTAGTCAGATACTTAACACAAAAAAACAAAGAGTAGGTCATTACCACTCAAAACTTAAGAAAAGGAATTGTAGAAGTAACTTTTGGTTTGGAAAAAATATTTTACAATATGCTACCTAGAGTTGATGGTTCATTAAGTGAGTTAACAAGGCGATTATGACATGAGGATTTACTATTAGATATAGTATTAGAAAGTCGATTACGTACTCTGCGGTAGGCAGCCCAATTAATAGGGGTATTGGAGAGTTTGGCAATTTTATGGAGTTTGCCAGGCAATTTCATTAACTTGCAAGTATCGCGATAAACAAAATATATATATAAGCATTCTGATGTTGATTATTTTCTATTGTGCCAAAAATGTCACAAAGTGTCCATTTAGTTGTCCCAGTCTAAATTTTCCGTGGCCATTGGACCAGGAAGACTATACAAAAACGCGCTATTGATATTCAATAAAATTTTGAAAAAACAGAAGTGAGCTACGACAAGTTCCAACGAATAGACAATTCTCATGGCCACAGCACCCGACTTGCGACAGGAGGTGGCTTAAGACTGCCTAAACTGAAGATAACCGCAATGGAAAGAACATTCGTTTATAGATGCATAAAATCTCACAACAACCTTACACCACACGCCAGGTCAACCACACCAACACTGTTCAGGAACATCATAAATGACATGATGACTCACAAGATAGATACATACAAACCCTTAAAGCACTGGTGGTAAGGTACTGGCACAAACAAGAAGCTGAATATATTATTATTATTGTATGCGACCTCTGACCTCCCAATAGCGATCTGGTAATGTCGTGCTGCTTTGTAGTTGTAATTGTTTGCTCTGTAGTTTTATGCTAGTTGCAGTCTAATGGATGTAAGTGTTATGTTATGTGCCTTAATTTGTAATTACATTTGTGTACTCTGTGTTTTATGAATCCAGGAAGAATAGATTAGATTTGTTATCTAATCTAATGGATATCTAATAAACATCAAACATCAAACATCATCAAAACTATAAACATGCCGGTGTAACTATTGACGCACCTCTGTTTTAAGACTTGCGGACAGGGTGGTGAATGCTGCTGATCCCGGATCCCTCAGATCAGCAGTGAACGCCATGTTTACCGTCACAGATGTAAAAACCGGCGTGGCGGCTGAAATAATTATTTTAAAAAAAGGAAAATCTATAATACGACATGTAACTTTAAAACACATAAATCACATTATCAAGAATACGGAATTGCCAGCCGGAACATAGAATCTATCTTGCTTCAATTTTAGATATAAGGAATACATTTTTTAGAATCACAACGACAAGAAAGACGGAGTAAACGTGTATATGCATACAACACGAGCTTACCATAACACACTCCTGTTAGTAGCGTGTTCCTAAGATTATCAAGGAGGTTGAAGCTGTCCACAAATGCCAAAGTGTTGTTGTTGCTGGCTATTTGTTCCAACTGATCTGCGTCATATCCGGAAACGCCGATGGCATAGACAGTAATTCCCTTCTGTTGTGCTTCTAAGGCAGGTGCAGCAACTGCGTCGCCAGAAACACCGTCAGTTACGACGATGACAACCTTTGGAACACCCGGACGAGCCCCATCAGACCTGCCAAATCCATACTTCGTCACGTAGCGAATGGCTTTTCCAGTCAGAGTCCCTCCTCTCATGTACTGTACTTCATCGATCGCAGCAGATAATGTCTCTTTAGTAAGGAAAGAGTTCATGGAAAACTCTTGTCTGATCCGTGTGCTGTATTGAATAACCCCTACTTGAGTTGCCGATGGACCAATGTCAAATCCACTGATTGTTTTCTTGGTAAACTGCTTGACTTTCTCGAAATTTGAGGCCCCAACACTTCCTGATCCGTCCAGGAGAAAGATAATGTCCAGGGGATTTCGGCAAAGAGTGGCTGAAAGAAAGGACTCGTTCTCTTAGACATGCGAAAACACGTCTACACAAATACGATAGGACACTGATTGATACAAATATACAATGATACCAAGTGTAATATTTTAGATGAAAAGGTTTAAAACAGTAACAAAAAATATGCTAATAGTTAAAAAGACACTGTTCTTACCAGCTTCTCCTGAAACGAAGGACGTTGAGTCCACGGTGATGGAGCCAAGAGATCCAGATGAAACAGCCGTGGAAATTGTCGTTATAACTGTAGTTGAGGACGTCACCGTAACCGTCAGAGTAATCGAGACCATAATGTTAAGCCCACTGAAATGATACGTTATAAAATGAATAATTAGGCACAATGCAGTTTGGACAACTTGTGACAATTAGTGTACTCTTCCTCAAAACATACAGTCAGTGCAAAAAAACGGATCCGAAGGTAAAAGATGCAACAAAAATCTCATTTAATACTCACGACGAACTGAAGTCAGTGACCTGTACTGCTGAGACTCCGCTTACATTATTGAATACAGTAAACATCTGAAAGAAATTTATTTTAAAAAAGTCAATATATTAGTTGAACAGCATTATTGACCGATTCGATACATAATGATTAACAACATAGCAGTAGACGCCCTTTTCTTTACCTGAGTTTCGATGCGCGTCTTTAACGTGGCAAATGCTTGACTCTCCACGTTGAGAAGATCAGCCGTAAATGTCTCTTGAACGACAAGTGTCACGGTCACCTCAGATGTTGCTAAAAAACAGTCAAACATACTTTTACACTTCTCCGCTCAACCACAAAGAGTTGTTGGCAATCTCAGAAGAATGTCAGAATACAAAAAAAGACCAAATTAAAGCAAGTAGGCCGTAAAGGAGTATACTTACATTCTTCTACAAAACCAGCTGAACTTGAGACTACAGTTATAGAACCCAAACTCCCTGTTTGTACCGCTGTGACAAATGTTTGCTTCATGGTGACTGCAGCGTACTCAGAGACAGCTACGGCTATTACCACTTTCAGCTGGTTGGCAGGCCTTCAGAAGAATAGAGGAATAGAGGAAAATAGATTAATCTCACAGTGTCAAATTGGTTGGACTTTAAAGAATTTTATAAGCGACTGTATGAACTGAATATTAGATATTGCCACTTCAAAAGTACATCATCGAGATCCACAGTTTTACAACCATTAACGCTTTGCAATTCGGGATGCAGTGGTTTACACAAAACAACTTTAGTTAATACTCACGCTGGTTGGAAGCCGACTATCGAAACACTCTGAACTCCCACAACTGTTGCAAGTACACGTATGATCTATAAACAAGAGTATGTAGTTTCATTATTTAGAATATTAATATAAACCAAACAGTTAGGACCGTAATGAACCATATATGAAACTAAACATATAACTGTATAACTATTATTAACGCACCTCTGTTTTAAGACTGGCAGACAGGGTGGTGAAAGCTGCTGATCCCGGATCCCTAAGATCAGCAGTGAACGGCACGTTTACCGTCACAGATGTAAAAACTGGTGTAGCAGCTGCAATAAAGGAGGGCAGTCATGTAAAAATGCTCCACATGTGCTGTTTAATGAAAAGGATATTCAAAAACGTCGTCATTATAAAAGTTACTTTTCCATCTTGGAATCATTTTGGTTTGATATCAGATACAAGTCTATAAGGAATCAAAAGGAATAGATTGATGTGCTAGTTTACGAAAAAAAGCTAACCATAACACACTCCTGTCAGCAGCGTGTTCCGGAGATTATCCAAGAGGTTGAAGTTGTCCACCAACGCTAAAGTGTTGTTGTTGCTGGCTATTTGTTCCAACTGATCTGCGTCATATCCGGAAACGCCGATGGCATAGACAGTAATTCCCTTCTGTTGTGCTTCTAAGGCAGGTGCAGCAACTGCGTCGCCAGAAACACCGTCAGTTACGACGATGACAACCTTTGGAACACCCAAACGAGCCCCATCAGACCTGCCAAATCCATACTTCGTCACGTAGCGAATGGCTTTTCCAGTCAGAGTCCCTCCTCTCATGTACTGTACTTCATCGATCGCAACAGATAATGTCTCTTTTGTGAGGAAAGAGTTCATGGAAAACTCTTGTCTGATCCGCGTGCTGTATTGAATAACCCCTACTTGAGTTGCCGATGGACCAATGTCAAATCCACTGATTGTTTTCTTGGTAAACTGCTTGACTTTCTCGAAATTTGAGGCCCCAACACTTCCTGATCCGTCCAGGAGAAAGATGATGTCCAGGGGATTTCGACAAAGAGTGGCTGAAACCAAGTGTGCTCGTTTTATTGGCGTGCACGAATTCTACAAGGCAATATATATTATCATATATTTTACAATTGTATACGATAATGACTTTAATATTTCCTCGGAATGGCGTACCATGTTTCAACATTTTAAGAAAATAGACATTATGTTTACTGTAATTCACGACCTTACCAGCCTCTCCTGAATTAAACGATGTAGAGTCCACGGAGATGGAGCCAAGAGAACCAGACGACACAGTCGTAGAAATGGTTGTTACTACATTAGATGATGTCGTTTCTGTGACTGTCATTAAAATTGTGACCAGGATATTGAGGCCACTGAAAAGGCAAATCAACAAATTGGCTAGTCTTATATATATATCTCAGATCAGATGTAAAGGTGAATAGTATTGTGCAAATGTAGTTGTGCGGGCTTTGAATCAGTTTTCCCTATGTACAATGACGGCAGTTGATATATATTGGTGTTAGTCTCTTTTATTCTAAAATATATCAGGTGTTTGTAAGTCATATCATGACATAATGTATATATATCAGAGATACAGACACGAGATCGACATCGAAAACAACTTTTTAACAAAAATTAAGAAGTTCCTTCATTTACAATTCGGACTTACGAGCAACTGACTCTGGTCACTTCAATGGAAACAACGCCTGGGGTATTTTCAAGAATCGACAGTACCTAAAATAAGAAAGACAAAAGAAAACGATGTAAATTTACAAGGTACTCACTGCAAACCTTGTGACAACTTCACCCTTACATAAAAAGAAAGAATCAAGTAAAGAATTGCATTAGTCTACCGTTTCCTTGTAATAAACATTAATATATACTAATGTCCATATCTACAGAAACTTGTTTAGGGTCTTCTCCATCGAGATCTACCCAGGTTTTATCATGTTTAAGCCTAGTATAAATCTTATCAAATAGTTAAGTAGTTGTGTACTCTTACCGCAGACTCAAGTCGAGCGACCAGGGCGATGTACGTTGCTGACTCAGGATTGAGCAGATCTGCACTGCAATTGGTCTCAACAACAAGACTTACGACGGTTGAAGTGGTTTCTGGTAAAAGGTGAACACAGCTTGACTTAAGCGTCAGTAACATTAACAACAGCCGGAGGTACGGTTTGGGTAATGATTACGGTCCTTGCTATGCATGCCAGGGGGTTAAAATCATCTTTATTTCAATATACAAATATATACAAGATGACTCGTTGAAGTACACCTAGGCCAGCCCTTTATCTCATTATAATTATAAGGAGGGCGCAGGGTAAGTAAAATGTAACAAGTGTGCATCGGACATTAAACTTTTCGATTAAAATTGTTTTCTACACATACATTTCATTTATACGTATACTTACAAAAAATGTTTTCTAGAACTTAAAGGTTAAAAGAAAAGAATCAAGCCTGTTGCATCAAATTTATCTTTTACAAGAGAATAGCCCTGAGGTACTTTCCCAACCCTGTGTGTTTCTAGCGCAGTATGTGGCATAAGATGCACAAAGTGCGCACTTCCCCAGTCTACTTTTAAGATGTCTGACTTCACGGTCCTTATGACTGACTAGGCAGAGTGACTTCAGTTTCGCAGTGTTCTCACTGTTAATCCATCCTCTACTTCCAACTTCAACTGTAACGAGTGTAGCTCTGTACCCACTATGTACGTTTATGCCATTAATCAGTCCTTCGTACTTGGCAGACTTTCTGTCCTCAGCGTGCTGTGCATTCTGTTCATAAGGAACGGTAAGTTCGATCAAGGTCAGCTTCAAGGTCATACTACAATCAAGCATTTTATGCTTTTGCCAAACAATAAACTTGGTTCTCGTTTTTTTTGGCCGAGAGCTACATTGTATGGTCGACGTATATTATCTTCAGATCAACAAACATTCGCTTATTTATCAAAAACATAGACTGCCTAAAAAGTAAAGTACTAAGAAAAAAAACGTTTTACCCTGTTCAATGACGATGGCAGAGCTTGCATTCACTGATATAGATCCCAGGTTGCCAGTGCTTACAACCGTGGTAAAGGTTTGCTTCATGGTGGTAGCCGAAAACACGGCAACATAGACAGCAATCGATGCTTTGACTTTATTTCCAGGGCTGAAATGGTATCAAGACATGCAGATTTGCTTTTCCATGTGTTCTTCAAATTCTATTACGAGAATTGCTAATTAACAAGAATACCATTAAGATTACAAATGTACATCATCAAATATCATTAGACTTATTAGAAGTGTACTCACGCCGGTTGGTAACTGACAATTGATGTACTTTGGAATCCCGCGATAGACTCAAACATTTGGGAAAGCTGCACAAAAAGATTCAAAATGTCATCAATGTTGCTTTATGCATTAAACCTACAAACATTTTAACCCATGTTAGCCCTAGAGTATTTTTTTTCAATGGGCAAAATTTGTTTCATACCTCTGTCTGGAGAACACTTGTAATACTGGAGAAATCGGCTGATTCGGGGTTTCTCAGTTGTGTGGAAAACTGGATGTCCAAAGTCACACACACAAACAAGGGCGGCACAGCTAAAGGTAAACAGCCAA